GTTTCAATGATTTTTGCCTGGTATCGGGACTTTTGTCCACTAGTGTACTCCTTGCCTTGTTTACTCTTATGGGTATTTTGTTGTACATAAAATTTTTTCTAACAACCTCCTCATTCGATTCATCTTATATAAAAAAAAACGGTAGTTATTGTACTTTTAGTCAGCAACACTTTAAATTGTAAGGTAAATAAAAGATGATTATAGTTCTTCAGTAATATTAAAGTTGTTCGATTTTTATTTCAAAAAAATCTTTTTATCACATTGATTCAATTAATAGTTTACATCTACTCTTTATTAGATCTGCAAGCTTAAAGAAAAAAGTCACTAAATACTACACAAAAATTGCAATAACCCTCATTACAATAATTTCAAATGAGCAGTAGAAGAGCAATAGGTATTGATTTGGGTACAGTATATTCATGTGTTGCTGTATTTCAAAATGGCAATGTTGAGATCATTCCTAATGAACAAGGCAATAGAACAACACCATCATTTATTACATTCACCAATAATGAACGTTTGATTGGCGACGAAGCTAAAAATCAAATATCTATGAATCCAAAGAATACAATTTTTGGTTTTAAACGACTTATCGGTCATAAATTTGATGATGCAACTGTACAAGCTGATATGAAACATTGGCCATTTAAAGTAATTAATGATAGAGATAAACCAAAGATTCAAGTTGAATATAAAAATCAAATAAAATTATTTACATCTGAAGAACTATCTTCAATGATATTAGCCAACATGAAGGACATAGCAGAAATTTATGTCGGTAAAAAAATTTCTGAAGCTGTTATTTCTGTTCCAGCTTATTTTAATGATTCACAACGTCAAGCTATCAAAGATGCTGGTGCTATTGCTGGTCTTAATGTATTACGTATTATAAATGAATCAACAACAGCTGCTATTGCTTATGGTTTCGTTAAAAAAATTTCAGGTGAACAAAATGTATTAGTTTTTGATTTGGGTGGTAGTAATGTTAATGTAACAATTTTAAATATTGAAGAAGGTATCATTGAAGTTAAATCAACAACTGGTAAATAATAAGAAATTTGATCTTTTTAAAAGATTTTTATT